TATATCTAAATATATATCATTTATACACATTTTATATAATTTTATGTCATGTTGATTGTAATATTTCTATATAGTTATTATAGTTATAATCATGTTCATTTTTCATGGTCAAATGTATACATGTCTTTGGTTCAACCCCAGACACAAGCCCAGCCCCAGTGCAGTCAACTGGAGAGTTGTTTCTCCACCTCAGTGGAACTGTTATTTTCCTGTACTTTACATTTGTTTGGCCAAAGCAAATCTTCGTAATGTTGAAGCGAATGGAAAACAAGTTTCTGGGATTCTGCCTAAAATCCCACACATTAAAAGCAATGACTTTTTCCCTATGTGTGAGTTTGGGACTTGCACATTCAGGCTGAATTTTGCCCAATTTTGGTGTTTCCATTGACATCAAGGGGATGGAGCTTAGCCTTTATTCTTTGTGAAAGGTTCCACATTGGACAAACGGATGTCTCTATAAATTTTACCTCAGAAGAGAAATGGTTTCCTAAATAGTGCAGTGCTGGAGAGGCTGAAGGTCCTGGTGAGCCTACTCTGCTCTGGTGAGGCCCCACCTGGAGTACTGCACACAGTTCTGGTGCCCCCAGCATAAGAAGGACATGGAAGTGTTGGAGCTAGTCCAGAGAAGGCCACGAAGATGATCAGAACACTGGAGCACCTTCTCTACAAGGATAAGCTGAGAAAGTTGGGGCTGTTGTTGGCTGCCCCAGCCCAGGCTGGATGAGCCTTGAGCACCCTGCTCTGCTGGGAGGTGTCCCTGCCCAGGGCAGGGGCTGGGGCTGGAGGAGCTCTGAGCTCCATCCCAACCCCTTAACGATCTATGAAACTGTTGAGGTGGCACCAAGCAAATGCCATGTCCAGCATGCTGTGAAGCTCATGAGCCAGAGCCAGTGCAGCTTCCCCTGGAGCATTGGGCATTACAGAATTGTGCTGGGAATGCTCAGTTTTACTTAGCCCTCTCAAGGTTCCAACATGAAACACGTGGATTTTCCTCATTAGTGATGTGCCAAAATCCTTTATCGCACACACTCAGCTGATGCATATCCATGTGGCTATTTCCAGACCAGGAGAGACTCGCCAGAGTAGCTAAATTGCTACAAACCACAAATAATAATCCACGAAACATCTCCAATTCCATTTTAAAGTACTAGGCCTAGTGTGGAATTGTATGATTCAAAATACCCTGTTACCAAGCATTTTTATGAACAGTTTTTTGGACAACAATGTGTCTGTTATATGCTGCTCTTTCAGCTTTTCCTCATACTTATTTGTATTTCCCTTTTGTTTTGGCCCTGTAGGATAATTCTGGACAGGGATACACTGCTGATATCAAGTGTGATGTTGGAGGACCAAGGAACTTACACGTGTGTGGCCCACACCTCCCTGGACACTGCCACAGCTGAGACACAGCTGATTGTTCTTGGTAAGAGCTGATTTCCCAGGCTGCAAACAGCACAAAATGCCACTGCAGCACCTCTGCTCCTTTGTTTCTTTTGCCCAGTTCACTTACCAATTTCACAGCCTTTGTCACTCCTTCACCTCAGCTGTGCTGTCCCTGTGCCTCCTGGAATGGTGATGCTGACACAAACTTTGATCGATATTGAGTCTTCATTAGAGTTAGGTGAGGCAGCAATTTTCCTTCAGTTCAGGGGTTTCCCCAGTGCTGTAGGAGCTTGCCCAGGCTGGAAGCACATGAAGAATGGCTCCTCTTCTGCTTTGAAGTACTTGCTCAGTCCTTCACCTCACTGTACTGGCAGTTTGCACAAGAGTTGAACTGCTTCCCCAAGAAGAGGGGCATGAGGTCAGTGTTTAGATGTGCAGCTCCTCTGAAGGTCAGGGAAAGTTAAGCACCTAGAAATGTTAATTATCTCTGAGAATCTGAGAAGAAATTATTGTGCAGGGGCAAAGAGCAAGTCCAAGGCAGAGTAAAGCCTCGACCCACAGGGTCTGAAGCTCGACCCTGTGTGTGTCCTTACCCTGCCTGAGGGAGCACTTGGGTTCAGGGCCTGAACTCACCGAGTGATGCTCATGTACCCAACCGACAGCTTAAATGTGCTGGACAAGTTTGCATCATTTTAATTCCACTAATTTTTGCTTCCTTTTACATTTTTTTCTCATTTCTGGCCGTGGTTGCAACAAGAAATAAGTCAGTCTGACCTTCAAGATGCTTTTACTATTAAAAGGAGTGATATTTGCCAGTCAATAGCAAACTAAGAAGGTGCTATGCACATTATTTATGGTATTGTGCTGTATAATTCAAAATGTAGATTATTTGTTACATTACTTATGGAAGTTTCATAAAGCACTTTATTCCTTTTTTAAAAGGTGTTTTGCTTGCAGAGGAGGAAAAACAGTTTTGTGCTCTTTTCCCCTTGTTTATTGTCTATAAGAAAGAACTTGGTGGATTAGCAATATCTGTCATTTGCCAAAGGAAAACTTCAGGTTTTGTTTTGCAATGAGACTTGTGAGAGGACTAAAGAGCTAAATGTGGCACAGATGGAGATTCAGGATTTGAGCAACTAAGAGAGGAATAATTATTCAGCTAGAATAATTCTGCGTTCTGTGATTAATGAGCAGATAGAGGGGTGAGTATCTGTAAGATGCACCATCACCACCTTTAATATACTGAATTTTAACACCAGATATGCTCCAGGAATGGAACAGCAAAATGCCTGCGGATTAAACTCTGCTTTCCTGAATTTTCCCAGGTGCAGCAAAAATAGAGGAAAGAAATGCAAAGAAGAGTAAACACAAAACCCCCCAACCCAAATAGAAACTTTTAAACTTTTGATGTACTCTGAGATGAAAACTCAATATTGCAATTGAGAAAATCCAGTACAAACACAACTAATTTCTTTGACAGAGACATAGGTGGTTGAAGTAAGTGATTTTCCTGTAAGAAATTACATTGTCAGCCAAAAATGTAGTTGAGACATTGGGGCAGGAGGAGGTCAAAGAGCTGAAGATGTGCAATCACATTTTCTTGGTCTGTACATGTTTTAGATGTTGAAACACCAACTCTGTGTTGCAGGAGGGAGACTCTGTGTGTGCTGTGCCGCTGTGTGTGTGGCTTTGGGAGGATGAGGGGCTACCCCCAGCCCCCTGCAGTGGGAAATGATCCTTTCACATCCACATTCCAGTTACCAAGCTAATCCAGTCCGGTCAGACTGCAGGCTGTCGGAGCAAGGCATGAGGAAGACAAACATCTGCCAGTCTGAAACCACTGGATTTGGAATTAGAGGCAATTTGGCAAACTTGCCGTGCCAAGGGTCACCTCCTCTGCCCCTGATGCCACTGAGACACGACACAACCAGGTGGTACTACAGACATGTGTCCCCCTTGCTGTATGCAAGGTCTGTGCTGGGGAACAGCCTCTCTTGGTGATGCTGGCAGCCACATCCCTGAAGAGTGAGCTCTGGCAGCAACTAGTGCTGTGCTCGGGGCCGACGTAACCCCTGTCGTGGGTTAACCCAGCAGCACACAGTGCCCACCAGCAGGATGGTCAGCCCTGTGCTCTGCACAGATCCCAGACAGAGCCCACAGCAGCACTGGGAAGAGAGTTAACTCTCTCCAGCCCAAACCAGCACACCCCATTGTCACCAGGGGCAGTGCAGCTGTCACAGCAGCCACCACCACCTCTGGCGCTGATGTGTTCTTGGGACAGCGTTGGTTGAATAGTCCTGTTTCCTATTAATGCAGCTCCCCCTGCCTGGGATGATGAGTGTCCTCCCTTCACTCATACTCTAAAAGGCCAAGTTCAGTAGCTGTCAGAGCCGAGTCAGCTTCTGTCTCTCTGCTTTGCACCAGAGTAAATCCAAGCGATGCTGCTAGAACTGTCTGCAGAGAGCAGTGCCAGTATCTGTTAAAGGCTAAACAGATCTTGGTGTTGATTTGAAAGGAGAAATCTGGTGCTGCAAGCACAGTAATGAGAGTAGATGGAAATTAACTTCAGGAGGGACATAGTGCTCACAGGGGAAAAGCAGGCCGAGAAGGTTCAGCCTTGTTCTCTGTAATAAAATGGGTCTTTAAAAGCAATTCCCACTTTCCTCTTTTTGTCCATTTTGACATCAGAAGGGGCTTTACCACCATTGTCCGTGCTGTTCCGGTCCAAGGCAAACAGAAATAGCTCATGTGCCCCTGACACTCGTTTGTTATTCCTCAGATGTTCCTGATCCACCAGAAGACCTTCAGCTCTCTGAAAACCAAAACCGAAGCGTCCGACTCTCCTGGAGAGCTGGGGCCAGCCACAACAGCCCTATTAATGGTATGAAGGACTAGTTGGCATCATCTTGTGCTGCTCAGCACTCATGTCACGGCCGTTAGAAGAAACAAATCCTCTCATAGCCATACTCGATCCTTATCTATGACACACAGTTCGTTGTAAGTTCATGTCCAGCCTTGTTATTTCTAAGCTTTTCATACAGGCTCTGCCTTTTTTTCTTTGCTTTTTGATTCTTTTCCTCCTCAGAGTCGATCGTAGAGTTTGAAGAGAACAGGTGGGAGCCAGGGAGGTGGCAGGAGCTTGCCAGAGTCCCTGGGAATGGCACCACAGCTCTGCTCTCGCTGGCACCGTACGTGAACTACCAGTTCCGCGTGGTATCTGTGAATGCTGTGGGCAGGAGCCACCCCAGCAAACCATCCCTGCGCCACACAACTCCTCCAGCTGGTAAGCACTGCCTCCAGCTGCTCAGCATTGAGCCTGCGGAGCCGCCGTGCCCTCCTGGGCTTCAGCAGAGGGTGAAGGATCGGGGTCGTCCCTGCCGCTCTCGCTGCTCAGTGCCAGCCCAAAGCATGAGTGGAACTAGGTTATGTGGGGGGAAACACCCACAGCTGGGTCAGTGGATTGAAATAACCCTCAGCAGGCCTGGTAGGGCAGAAACCATCTTAATTTTATTAATTAAAGGAGGTTTTCAGACAAATAAACTCAACTGGGCAATGTCATTGCTCAACATCTCCTAATGCTTTGGAAATGTGTTAATTAGATGGGAACATGCTGGGATGGATTCTTCAGCTGATTGGTAAGGAAACACAGCCCAGCAGCTGCACATTACAGGTCCAGGAGTATTTTCAAGCATTTAGTGTGCAGTTAGAACAGATCTCAATTTTACTGACCCAGTATGCTGTGCTACATGAAATTCTAGAGGATTGATTGCCAGGGGAGGAGTCCACACTGCTGAGGTTCACAGGGTGTTTCCTGCACCCCACTCTGCTGATTTTCCACCTTTAAAGCCCTTTGCAGCCCTTCAACAAGAAGTTCTGGACAAGAAGCTGGTTTGCAGTGAGACTTCCAGTGGCATTCAGCTTGTCTAAAATCTCCATTCACAGAGCATTTCACTGTGGCAGAAAATGTTACCTCCCTGAAATGCCATTTTAGAGACCAACTGTTCAGCACAGCATTTGCATTCCTTGGCATTTTCCCCTCTTTCCCCCCCCTTTACTTCAATTTTAGGTCCTTCTTCAGTTTTTCAGCTGTGTGTGTCCCACTAATGATACACCTTCTGTTTGCTATCCCCACAGGAAGAGAAATCTGTTCCTCATAATCCCTCTGCATCTGGTGCTTTCAAATCCAAAAGTCACAGTTTCATGTTAGCTGGTGGCTCCAACCAACAGGGGCACTCAGGAATCAAAACTGCATGAACAATGTGTTTGGGTCACATCAGTTTTGCTGAGCCAAGTAATTAATCTCCTGAATGTTTTTCTTGCTTAGGTGTTTTTCACTAATAGGGAAATAAGAAAACGTTTTGGACAGTTGTTTTGCATTTGAATATTAAATGCAAATAAAGCCCAGGAGATGGAAACTAACTTTATCACCTGTGTGGTTGCAGCTCCAGATAAGAACCCAGAAAACATCAGAGTTGAAGCTTCTGAACCAAATGAAATGGTGATGAAATGGGAGGTAAGGCAAACATGGCTAAAGCACATGGAATTATCAGGAGGTTGTTTTAATATAATTACATTTAAAATGAGAAATAACAGATCCCTTGACTTTACCTCCCTTTCCCTCACCCCTGTGTCTTAGGAAATATTAGCTAATTCCATGATTTGATCCTTAATTCTTCTGAAGTCAAAGATAAATTTGTCATTGACTTAACTATGTTCTGGATTTCCTTCCCCAGTACCATTTTTGTGTCAAAGGGTAGTTTGTAATGTCTAAATTCACTGGGTATTAAGAAACATGCAAGTCCTATAAAGCACAGTGAGAACTCCCCAGAATTTGCTCTTCTTCTCTGCTTCTCACATACAAGAAAGTGCTTCAAATAATTGTGGTCTTAGGTCACAGGCCCAGGGAGGGGATGGGTGACACATGACTTCTGCCCTTCCAGCACAGAGGTTTGAAAATGCAGCAAATCACTTGTCCAAGAGAATTTGAGCTTGAATTTTTGCACCAAGAGCTAAAGGAGCATAGATAAAGCTCCAAAGCATATGATGTGCATCAAAGGATGGGTGTAAGTGTCGTGAGGATGGTTTCCAGTCTTCCATTTTCCTGGGTTTGAAGCTTATGGCTTCTGTGCCAGCAGTTTAGAGGGATATGTATATATTCCTTCATTTAAATTTCCACAACTGTGCAAGGAGGTATATTTTTGTTGTGGCTGGAGTGAAACACAGTTTACATGAGATTTACTTTTCAATCTGCTGCTCGCAGTGGAGAACAATAAAAGTTTCCCCAGTGTGAACTCATGGTTTAGGCTGTAGTTACACCAAAAGGAGATGGTCCTCTAGGTCAGAGAATCACAGAACATTCAGAGCTGGAAGGGACCCTTGAGGATCATCCAGTCCAACTCCTGCCCTGCCCAGGACACCCCAACAATCCCTCCCTGAGCCTGAGAGCATTGGCCAAACACTTCTTGAGGCTTGGGGCTGTGCCCACTGCCCTGGGAGCTGTTCAGTGCCCAAACACCTCTGGGGAAAGAACCTTTTCCTAATACCCAACCTAACCCTCCCCTGACACAACTCTAGCCCTTGGGTTCCTGGCTGCCAGAGAGAAGAGGTCAGTGCTGCCCCTGCACTTCCCCTCCTGGGGAAGTTGTATGCAGTGATGACCTCTCCCCTCAGTCTCCTCCTCTCCAGGCTGAACAGACCAGGTGACCTCAGACTGTCTTCTTATGGGTGCCCCTCAAGGCCCTTCACCATCATCATTGCCTCCTTTGGACACTCTAACAGCTTAATATCCATTTTACGTTGAGGTGCCCGAACTGCACTGACTTGGCTTGGAATCTGGGGAAGTTGTATGCAGTGATGACCTCTCCCCTCAGTCTCCTCCTCTCCAGGCTGAACAGACCAGGTGACCTCAGACTGTCTTCTTATGGGTGCCCCTCAAGGCCCTTCACCATCATCATTGCCTCCTTTGGACACTCTAACAGCTTAATATCCATTTTACGTTGAGGTGCCCGAACTGCACTGACTTGGCTTGGAATGGGATTTTTGCTGGATGACATAGCCCAGGGTCAGGGAAGACAATCCTGCCTCTCAAAATGTTGGACTTGCTGATCTTGAAAGTCTTTTCAGCCTGAATGATTCTATCACATGCAGAGTGGTGGCTCCCAGTATAGTAATTGGGAAATCTGGCTGTGGTCAGTGCTTCACTGCACAGAGAGCAAGTGCTGCTCCTCGCTGGGAAACCGGAATCACTGCTCAGACAGGGCAAAAGTGGAGGTGAAAACTGAGACTGAAGGGAGAGAAAAGGCTGGACAAGCTTTGTTAAATCTTGTTGAATCATTAAAATGTTGTAAATGGGCTATTGGTTTATTTATGGCATTTCCTGTGTGCTTTTCAGAGGAACTGCTGGGCATGGAACAGCCTATTTCTGACAGACAAAGAGTGCAAAATTATGTTAATCTGCCTACTTTGGATTAAGAGCCCAGCTGAGCATTACTGACTGGCTTTGCAGCCAAGGATTTGCAGCATTAAGGGAGATCAGAATAAGAGTCAAGTAGTGCTGCAATTTAAATCTTAACCAGAAGTTATTTTTTAGTCAGATTTTTTCACTTCTTCAGCTTCTCTTGCAAATCCCATTCCCTGGGATCTGTCCCATGGAGCTGATTTATGGGATCATAGAATCACCAGGGTTAGAGGAGACCTCTAAGATCATCAGGTCCAACCCTTAACCTGCCACTGCTGGAACCCCTGAGCCCTAACCCCGGTCCTGCAGTGCCACATCAGACACCTCTGAAACACCTCCAGGGATGGTGACTGCACCACCTCCCTGGGCAATATCCCAGTGCTGAACACCCAACAGGGAAGAAATTTTCCCTAACATCTACTTTGATTCTCCCAGTGGTGCCTGTTAGAAAACTTGGCAATCTACCAACTCCTTCAGCACAGTCATCCCAAAGATCCTCATCCCCTCAGAGCAGATCAGTGGGAACAGCAGATCCCCCAGGTTTGTTTCTTCTGTGCATGAGCAGCATCAATGGGGCATCACTTTGTGCTGGTACCTGCTGTCATTTCATTTCAGACCTCTGTGTATAGCTTGGCTACACAGCAGCTATTACATAGTTAATATTTGCAATACATCATTTAAATCTGATGAAAATTAGGCTTATGTGGTAGGAAAACCCACAGCTGGTTCCGTGCACGGAGATAACCCTCAGTAGTTTTGGGAGCTCAGGCATCCTGTTAACTTTAATAATTAAAGCAGCACGTTTTTAGAGAAATAAGATCACCTGGAGAATGGCTCATGACAAATTAGTGTTCCACATCTCCTAATACTTTAGAAATGAATGTTAAATAGCTGGAACCATGCTGGGATGAATTCCTCAGCTGACTGGGAAAAGCAGAGTGGACCAGCAGTTGTACATGAAATGTCCAGGTATAGTTTCAAGCGTTTGGTGTCTAGTTGGAACAAATCTAAATTTTAATGACCCAACTTGCTCTGCTACATAAAATTCTAAGAGAAAATGCAAATCTGAGCTATACTCAAAGGCTCGACCAGCCTCACGCCAAAATACGTAGTTTAGTTCTGCTGAAGGTAAGTGGGTTTACATCACATAAGAAAATCTGTGGCAAAACAAAACCTGATGGATGTAGTGTGCAGAAATATGTCTGGGGCAATTAATATGGGTTTAATCCAACTGTATGTCTGCCTTTCAACCTCCTTTCTCTTGAAGTCATGACATATTTCTTCTGGTCATCTTAAAATTAGAAAAATTGGCTGCTCATGGCTTGAATAGGTGAACTCTTCAATGGGTGGGTGACCAGCCCCAAAGAACTGTGTAAATAGAGCTCAGTCCAGCTGGGGCTGTCACTAGGGATGTTCCCCAGGGCTCAGTGCTGGGGCAGGTCCTGTTTAACCTCTTTACTGGTGATCTGGGTACGAGGGTTGAGTGCAACTGCAGGAAATGTGCAGGTGACACCGAGCTGGGAGTGAGTGTGGATCTGCCTGAGGGTAGGAAAGCTCTACAGAGAGACCTGGGCTGAGCTGCTCAGTGGCTGAGGACACTGCAGGAGGGTGAGTGAGGCTCAGTGCTGGTCCTGCCCTGGGCACACAACAGCCCATGCAGCTCCAGGCTGGGGAGCAGTGGGGACAGCTCAAGTGTTGTTGGTCAGACAGGGATTTGGGAGTGCTGGGAGGTAGGGAAATGTTTTCCCTGTTGGGTGTTCAGCACTGGGATATTGCCCAGGGAGGTGGTGCAGTCACCACCCCTGAAGGTGTATGAGAGGTGTCTGGACCTGATGCTAGGTAACCCTGTTTAGAGGTTAGGGTGGTAGTGCTGGTGCAGCCTTGGACACAATGATCTTAACTTGATGATTCTATGAAATTAACACAACAGCTAAAAGTTAAAACTTTCTCTTTCCTGCATTTTCTCTTCCAATGTGACACACTAAATTTCTTCCCCCTCCCCTCAGTGGCTGTTTCATGATTACTGCAACAAAGGCAGACAAGATCTCTTTACCTTCTTCCTCAGCCATTGAAACCTGTGGAGAGGAATGGGCCAGGGCTGGAGTACAGAGTCAGCTGGAGGCAGCGAGGAGTGGAGGTGGAATGGAACGAGGAGACAGTGAAGAAACACTCCCTGACCCTGAGGAACACTCCCACCTTTGTGCCTTATGAGATCAAAGTGCAAGCAGTAAACAATTTAGGATCTGGTCCTGAGCCAAATGTTACCATTGGATATTCAGGAGAGGATTGTAAGTAGTGAAAATTTCCATGTAAAAATACACTGTGTGTGGGTTCCTTGTGATGGAAAATGATCAGACAACCCACAGCCAAAAGTGTTGAAATGCCTCATCCATATCCAGTGGGACATGGATCCCACTGGTGCTGGGTGCCATCTTGTTGGAATGTGAGGTTTTTTTGGGAAGGTCACTTGTGCTTTGATTAATCTCAGCTGCTGTTTAACCTGAGTAGTTGTTTGAAGGTTGCAGTCTGTAAGAAGTCTGTGAAGAGTAGCAGTTGTGTTGCAGTTGATGGGGGAAAAGCTTCAGCTTCTCTGGGGCCCAACTCAACAGTTTAGTGCTGTCAGGAGTTAAATACTGTGGCAGTTATGTCCAAGCTCTCAGGCACTGTGAAGGGAATTTGTAGGCCGTGCCACATTCCCATGTGTGCTGGGTGCTACATTGTCCCCTGAGTCCTGGAAGAACATGTCATCTTCTCCAGCCTGGATTCAGTCCCAGGTGGCACAGCCACTCTGTGTTTCACCAGCACAGCCTCTCAGTGCACACCCAGAGATGGGAGCAGGAAGGTTTGGTGGTGAATACTGAGAGCTCCAAGGAAGAAACTCCCCAGCATGTTTATTTTCTTTGTCTGTCTGTGATGAGTCTAATTTTATATCTGTCAGTGGAAAAATCTTCCTTGAAATTCAGCCTCTTTTTTTTCCAGGCACTTTTATAGCTCTCTGTGTTGTGTAGTGATTAAAATCCCACTGTTTAATGAGCTGAGTTGTAAAATGAAATTGATTATAAAAAACCACTTTATGATTGCCTTCTTGAGTGCTGTGTTAATCATTTTTTTATTCTTCTCACTGCTGTAAGCATTGCTTGAAACAGGAAATCATAAATATGGTGTAGAAATTCCTATGCCCCAGTGCCCTTGTATTCCAGCCTTCAGCAGAACCCCCTGGTATGGAAAAGTAACGTTTATTGGCACATTTCACTCACTGGCTGCAGGTGCAGTAGCTGTTTTCTTGCCTGCAGTAAGACTGCATGAACTGGCACCGCTTGAGCTGAAAAGCCAAGCCCTGTAGCTGTGGGTAGGGTGAATTTGGGCTCTTGGAAGTGTCTTCAATCTGTGGCACTTTTGTTTTTACAGTCCCGGATGCTGCTCCTTCAGGTGTCTCTGTGGAAGTGGTGAACAGCACATTGGTCAAAGTCTTCTGGTTTGGAATACCAAGGGACAGAGTTCATGGCCACTTAAGAGGCTATAAGGTTACAAATTTCTCTTTCAATATTTGTATATAGATGAATAAACTGCTAAATGAATCCTAGATCCAGGAGAGATTGAGATCTCTAATTTGGGAAGGTGAGCGAGATCATTATCATGTTCAGCCCCACACAACATGGTTTGTTATAGAAATCTCAATCCCAATGCAGGTCAGCTGGTGGAAAACCAAAAGCATGCTGGATGGAAAAAGGCATCACCCAGAGAAGCACTTCCTAACATTTGTAGGAGACAGGAACTATGGGATGATTCCCGGTCTGGATCCCTTCAGTGAATTCCGCTTAACTGTGTTGGCTTACAACTCCAGAGGAGATGGTCCAGAGAGCTCTCCTGTGGTGTTTGAGACTCCAGAAGGAGGTAAGATAAAATGGGAATATGGGATGGAGGGACAGCAGTAGAAATTGGCCTTGTCACAAGGGGAGTCGATTGCCTTCTTCAAAGGGAGCGTAAAAATCTCCACTGGGAAGGGGAACTGGAGGTGTTGAGCTAAACTGTGTCCTCATTTAACCTGTGTGGGACAGACCTGTTCAATCTTCTCTAACTGAGAGAAGATAATAATATTATTATGCGTTTTTATATACTAAGAATGTATTAGTAGTATTGGTGTTATTATCTCTAATAATTGCTGTGTCTTCCAGTCCCTGAACAGCCACATTCTCTGAGGATCCTGAACTTCGACAAGGACTCTGTCACTCTCTCGTGGGGACGTCCCAGGAAGGCCAATGGCCACATCACTGGCTACATTCTGCAGTACCAGATGAGTATGTGCCTGTTGTGCTCTGCGTTTAGAACTGACGCGCAAGTTGAAACGCTGACTCGAGTGTCTCTTCCCTTTCAGTCAATGAAACACATGACGTGGGACCTCTGAGTGATGTCAGTGTCACAAACCATTCCACACTCAGCTGGAGGCTCTCAGGTCTCAGCTCCAGCACCAAGTATAAGTTCTACGTCAAGGCTTGTACAGTCAAAGGCTGTGGGAAACCTGTCACGGAAGAAGGACTAACGATGGCACGAGGAAGTAAGTTCCTAGGCAATATGTTTTTATGTGGAGGAGCTTTAACAATAATGGGAAAATCTATGGAGAATATTCCAGGCTTGACATTTCCTTTGTAATTAGAGGAAATAAATTTGTTTTTCTTTCCATGAGGACAATCAATGAACTTTTTAATGGAGCTGTGCAGAAAAGCAGAGCTCATCGGTTTCATTTTGCTGCGCAGTTCTGTTTCTGTTCCCACTGATCAGCTCTTTAAGCCTTACTAGAATGGTTTGTACTAGAAGTGGTAAATTGCATGTAGTCATGAATAGAAAACTGAAGAGGCAGATAATCTGTTCTCAGGAATATCATCAAACCAAATTGTGCCCGTGCCTGAAGATGAGGACTGGCAGCAACATCAGAGTCACCTGTTTGACATGCAAAATCCAGATGGGCATAAAGGTGACCGCGGTGCATGTGGTCCGTTGGGCATTATTATTTTATCAGGGACTGGGAGTGAGCATTTGTGTGCCACTTCTACCCTAGCCTGAAACACTGCTGTGGTGTGAGGTCAAGGAGAAGCACAAGCACCGCGTGGTTGTGCCTCTCTCACGTTCAGCTGAAATGAAATCACATGTCCTGTGCTCAGCAAGTCTGAAAACTCCACAGTACCAAGGAGCAGGTCCCTGCTGTTAATCAGAAACCGTCGCTGGGCACTAACCACGGGGAAGGAGAATCTGATGAGCAAAAGATTTCTGTCTTCATTTTCAGCAAAGATAACAGTGTGGGGCAATATTGGTATCAAACAGAAAAATGATCCTTTTTGCATTGGACTTCTAAGTTGTATAATTTTCTCCAGTTGCTGGTAAAACATGTGAAAAGTAGTTTAAAGTCACCACATCCCAGTTCAGGATCCAGTAGTGAGCTACCATTTGTTTGCTCAAGTAGCAGAACTCCTTCCCACCTGCCTTGTAGCCTCCAGTCTCACTGCAGGGACTCACCTAACAATAAGTGTTCACCCAGTTCACTGTTTCATTGTTCACTGGTGTAAGTACTCACCTAGCAATAAATATGAATGAATAAATAGATTATTGCCATGATTTAACATTTATTCTTCATGTAATTAAAGCAAGAGATCCTTAACTTATTCAAACAAAAAATACACCATTTCCCCTCATTAGTTAACTTTTCTGGCCTTCTTAGGCAGCCAAAATAATGTGGTTTGACCACTGGAGAGTCTATAACTTCTTGCAAGAACCTTGTCAGGGCTTAGGAAATGCATCCCTGCCTGATATGCTTAACAGGAGATAATGCTGGCATTATTTCTTCTCTCCTAACACTTTGCTTCAGCAGTGGCAGCAACTGATCCTTGGGAAATGCTCTTAGAACAGAGTGGTGTAATTAATAAAAGCTACAAGGGTGCAGTCCTGTGATTTATATGTGCTCCTTGCTGGTTCTCCAGCCACCCTAAATTTGGGCCCTGCATCTCTCCCTGAGGTGCCATTAGAGTCCCAGCTCATTATTTGCTGGCTAACTTGTTCAGATATTTTTCAACTAAACATGAGAGGCTGAGAAAAGAAATCGTGAGCTTTGGGGGTTTGAAGCTGTGGTGTGGGAAGTGAGGCAACTGCTCAAAATTAAACCAATCTCTCTTTTTGGAGAAAGGGAGTGATTTCACAAGCTGAAGTTCAGCATTTGAAATGACCCACATAAATGACAGATAGAAATTGTGGTGCCCTATGAAATGAAGCTCTGGGACAGAGTACTCCACCTTTCTTTGGGGCTTGATTCACTGATTCTATATCCACTATGTTCCACTTAGGTCTAAACCCAGAGAGCTCTCCTTGTTCATTTGGAGGCTGTGAAGAGCTGGGTAATGCAGCTTTTGCCATGGCTACTGCAGCATTTCACAATGCATTCTGCCAGCAAAGTGGAGCTGTCGAAGCTCTGGATTCATCCACATTTTATCATCCATATATTTCATCTGCAGCTTACAATTATTTGCTGTTATCCCTTTTACTCTAGGCTGGAATCAGCAAGGGAAGCCAGTCTCTGTTTAGTGTGTCCATGTGCAAGGCTGCTCGTAGCACCACCAGAACAGCTTTCCCTGGAGGAAAACGGTGGTGCTCGATGTGGTAATTTTGCCAGGCTGTAATTTATGTGCAGCCCCTTTCCTGGTGGTGAGTTTGCAGTGGCATGAAGGACTGAACTTAGTACAAAACGTTCATATCAATTAAATAAATATCATTCCCTGCATAGATAAATGGATAGAATCACAGAATTACAGAGTCATTTAGGTTGGAAAACCTTCTAACATCATTAAGTCCAACCATTGCTTTACATTGCCAAGTCCACCCTGACCCCAAGTGCCACATTTACACCTCTCTTGAATCCCCCCAGGACTGGTGCCTCCACCACTGCCCTGGGCAGCTGTGCCAGGGCTGGGCAACCCTCTCTGTGAAGAAATCTTTCCTAATACCCAATATCCACCTCCCTCGGGTGGATCATCCTCTTCCTCTACGACTGCAGCCCCTTCTTCTGTGCATAAACATTTCCAATGCAGGTTTTTGCCAGGACTAACACATTGCTCAGAGTCAGAAACACTTTACCCAAAGTTCAGTGAGTGGACAGTGATAGGGAAGGACCATCCCATGCTCACATCTCTCTCTCTTCATTCTCCACGGGAGCACTCTGTGCTTTCCTGGCAGGGTAGAGAGTGAACCCTCTGCTCTGCCTCTGGCAGAAGGAGCTGTTTGTGCATACTGTTTTAACAGAGAAAAACCACACTTTAATATTTGTCTCTAAGATTAAACACAGACCCACAGCAATGAGTGAGAAACAGCACAGGAGATACAGAACCTTTCATTTACAGCATCCTTGTTGGGTGACTCAGCACCACTGGCATTGGCAGTTAGTATAAAGTCAATGGAATAAAAGGCCTTTTTCTCATGGAGAATCTCAAACATGGCCAAAATAACTCAGGTATGAAAGTCTGATAGGCAAATCTTCAGCATTAGTTGATAAAATACTGGGGAGAGTCATGAACAATATAGGCAAAAAGGATCTTTGTACTGTACTGCAAAATACACAATAGCTTAATTTTTGTGGTTTCATGGTGTCTTTAGAAAATGAGTTTTATCTGTCTTTCCATTTTCAGGCATTATTTCTCAAATGACCTCCAGACTAATTAATTTTCCCCTTGAAAATGTCAGTTTCCCAAAGATCATTAGCCCTCAGAAACACAACACAGACTCATGTACTTACATAAGTGAAAACATTGATTCAGTCTCTTAGCCCTGCTCTAACACAAAGCTGCTTTTCATCTAGTGACCAGTGTTTCTGGAGGATTGCTGAGCACGTATTAGATCTTGAGAATTGTCACTGTGTGTCCAGCAGTCCAAGCCTTGGTGAAACATTCAGCCAGAGGAAGATGTACAACTGTAGGTTTATTTTCCAGAGGAGCCAGGAAATAGAAGTTCACGTGTTTCGTAACATTTCGTTGGCAATTGGCACATAACTCCCAAAGGTTGCCTGAAAATCTCAGGCAGAGGTTACTCTCCTTCATGCCCAGAGTAACCACTTGGAACAAGATATGAGGATTTGGTCCTCTTTTTCCACTGCAAAAGGAATAATACAATGCCTTAGCCATATGTGCTACTGGTGCTGTCACCAGCAAACTCTGTTTGCTCACAGTCAAGAGACCCTAACGAAATCTTGGTGTAAATTTCTTCATTACTGACTCACCTAGAAATTCTTCCCAACAGGCTTGACATACAACAGGTTTGGTAATCTCTATAGCATGAATTACTAATCTCTGTAGTTTAAAATCTCCCCAGTTTAGCACGAATTACTAATCTCTAGAGTTTAAAATCATCCGAATTTGCCATGAATTCCCAAAGCCCAGAGGATGAAGGATATTGTCGTGCATATTTATAACCTTTTAAGAATGAGGCAGCAGGAGAGAATTAATGCAAGTTCAACTTTTCATCTCTTACAGCAGATGTATTTAGGCAGGTATGGTTATAAATTAAGATGCTGTCCACAATTAGCTAAATCTCTAGGTGTGTTTTCGACCAGATGTGCTAACTTTTGGAGAACTAACTCTCCTGGAAGCCTTTCGGGGTGGTTTCTATTGGGATTTTTCCTTTATACCATGAGCTTCTCTAAAAAATGTGTTGTGTCGTTCTCATAAATCTTGAAGT